AATGGATGAGACGCTGGCCACACACCTGGCACCTAGGTCCAACTCGGCTAGTGGTAAGCCAACACTCCCGAATAAGCAGTGTAGGTTCTCCGCCTCGCAGCTAGAGAAAATATACCGCTCGCAAGGCCTGGCTGCATGTGCACTCAACACGGCATCCATGCTGCAGGCTTACCAAGCAGAGAAACTGCGTGACCTCAAAACCCTCGAAACGCGGACATAAGCGAGGTAATAACCCCTCGCCTGCAGAAATGTATGGCCCTTCAGACACGTCCTGGAAGTTTCCCCAGTTCCCCAGCAGAGGACGTAGTTGTACCGCAAATGGTAATGCTGAACAGGCTGGCCGCAAGACAGGCCATCTGGCGTGCCTGCCTCGCAGTGGGTTATGGATACTGTAGTCCAAGGCTACAGACTGCAATTCATGAAACGCTCTCCACTGTTCAGAGGAGCTGTGATATCAAAAGTGCACCCATCCGCTGCCCCCGTGCTGAGGGAAGAAATCCGCTCTCTTCTAGAGAAGCAGGCAATAAGCATTGTTCCCACACACGAAGCTCAAAGGGGGTTTTACAGCCGTTATTTCGTCATTCCAAAAAGGGACGGGGGCCTCCGTCCCATTCTGGATCTGAGAGTACTGAACAAACACCTGAGGAAATTCAAGTTCAGAATGCTGACCTTGCGCCAAGTAATGCAATCAGTCCGACCAGGAGATTGGTGCACTACAGTGGATCTGAAGGATGCTTACTTTCACGTGGCCATGCTGCCGAAGCACAGACGGTTTCTACGCTTCGCTTACGAGGGCACAGCGTACGAATACCAGGTGCTGCCGTTGGGATTATCCTTCGCTCTTCGCACTTTCACCAAGTGTTCAGAGGCAGTTCCTCTCAGAGGTCAGGGGATCCGAATCCTCGACTACCTGGACGATCTGCTGATCCTGTCAGATTCAGCTCAGCAGGCCAGCATCCACACGTCCAGGCTGCTGTCTCACCTGGAGTCTTTAGGCTTCATAATAAATCGAGAAAAGAGCTCCCCAACCCCCAGTCAGAAAATCGGCTTCTTAGGACTGGAGCTAGATTCTGTGGAGAATCAAGTGCGGTTGTCGCCTCCGAGAATAGCTGCTTTCAATCGTTGTCTAGCGCTGTTTCAGCTGCATCACATCGTCCGCCTCTGCAAGTGCCAGCAGTTGCTGGGTTTTATGGCATCCATGATTCCAGCGGTGCCTCTGGGCCTGCTGCTGATGAGGAGGTTTCAGCGATGGGTGCATGCCAAACAGACACCCCTCTACCCCCGGGAGGACAGGAGAGTGAGAGTCACGCAATCGTGCATGAGCGCTCTGCTCCTGTGGAGGGACTTCGCCAGGTTAAGCATGGGAGCCCCTCTGGGCCGGATCTTTTCTCGTGTACTGGTAACCACGGATGCATCCAGGTGGGGCTGGGGTGGCATTTGCAGGAACGTTCACGTGAACGGGACCTGGACAGACAGGGAGAGGACATGGCACAATGTACTGGAAGTGTTAGCTGTGTTTCTGTCACTGAGACACTTTTACTACACGGGTCTGCTGGCGGGACACCACGTTCTGGTACGCAGCGACAATATGTGCATTGTCGCACACATCAACAGGCAAGGGGGGACACGCTCCCTTTCCCTGCTCTCTCTCTCCCACAGCCTGCTCTCATGGAATAGCACGCGTCTACTGTCACTCAGAGCGACGCACATCCCAGGGCGTGCTAAACAACGGCGCAGGAGTGGAGACTCCACCCGGATGTGGTGGGGCGGATCTGGGATCGGTTCGGCAGGGCCACCGTAGATCTCTTCGCCTCCAAGACAAACACGCACTGTCCTATGTTCTTCTCGCTACGGGATGACAGCGGGCCCCTCAGGTTAGATGTGCTAGCCCATCCGTGGCCCTGGTCCCTACTTTACGCGTTTCCCCCGGTAGCCTTGATACAAGCCACGCTGGAGTGCGTGCGCCTGGAGGGCTTATCGAAGATTCTGATTGCTCCACGCTGGCCCAGGAAAGCATGGTTCGCGGAAATAGTAGCACTTTTGCAGGGGACACACTGGTGCCTCCCTGTGCACAGAGACCTGCTATCACAGGCTACGGGGCAGATATGGCTCCCGCATTCGGAAATCTGGGACCTGTGGGCTTTTTATTGACTATCTCAGCATTCCATGTGGCCCACCAGGGGCATGGCTGCTTCTTGGGCCCTTTTCAAAGGGGTTCCAGTCGAGGACGTCTGCTCTGCCGCGAGCTGGGCTTCTCCACACACTTTCATGAAGTTTTATTGTCTGGACGTGACAGCGCCGGATGTCACCTAGTCAGTGCTCTCAGCAGGGAAGTGATGTAAATGACATCACAAGTCCAGCTGTCCCAGGGCCGGATCTACTTAATCTAACTGAAGAGGATGCCTCAGGGCGTGATGATATACGCCCATACTAATGTGTTGTACCGAGTGTACCGATCGAAAGGGAACTGGAGGTTATGAATATACCAATGTTCCCTGAGGGAGGGAAACGAGGTACAACACAGTTCAGCCCCTCGCCCCCGGCTAACTCGGTGAAGTGCAGTTTAGACTGAGGAGATGAGACTGTGCAGGGGCTTTTATAGCCCCAAGGGAAGGCGGGACTCCCCCTGCCTGCAACAGTCTCATTGGCCCTGACGGGCGTTTTGATAAAGTTTCTTCAGGTTGGTCTCGCCATACTAATGTGTTGTGCCTCGTTTCCCTCCCTCAGGGAACATTGGTTATATTCATAACCTCCAGAAATCATACTTCTTATCTGTTTTTACATTCTGAGTAATATTGAAATGTTTTAACCGTAGACTCTATATATTTAAGAGCTGTGGGCTCGCTAGTGTGTGTGTCGCATTGAACATTACGTCGCGGCAGTTGTGTGTGGCGTCACTATGACGACAAGCTATGTATTATCTCTGGGTACTATCTGGAACGGAAAATGGAGCAGGGCCGAGTAGAGTTGAGTCTTTCGATTTGCGCTATGGTAGCATTTTTCGGCAAGGCAGCATAGATCATCAGAACACCTGCAACAGTTCAACATTTAGTCTTAATTGTAAGATGTGGAACAATGATGTTGTGTGGTTGTGGACTGAAGTAACTTATACCATCTGCTAGGTTATGGTCACAGTCTGAAGCGGCTTTGATTTGGATCACACTACCTTGTTTCTTACGACCCGCCCTTCTCTGCTTCTGATTGGCTAGTAGTCCTTACCTGGGAACCGCGCATGTGCAAGGCCCAACAAAGATTAAGTTCGTAAGTAAGATAAGATGCATCACACTGTAGCTCAAGAGCGGAATGTACAACACACAGGGTGAAAAGAGGAGCTGCAGCAATGTGCAGTATGAGAAAAATATGTTGTTTTTTGAAAATTAAACCACGCAAACCTGTTCTGGTACAACCCCTAATTAAGATTTTGAACCTCAAAATGAGCATAATACCACCTCTTTAAAATCCTGAAATAAACCAACAAAGACTACTGCTCAAGGAGAGACCGCAAATCCGCCCTTTATCGTATCATCCATCCATTGTCAACCGCTTATCCTGTGTACAGGGTCGCAGGGGGGCTGAAGCCTATCCCAGCTCACACTGGGCGAAAGGCGGGACAGGTTGCCAGTCCATCGCAGGGCCACACATAGACAGACAACCACTCACACTCACATTCACACCTAAGGGCAATTTAGAGACACCAATTCATCTAACCTGCATGTCTTGGGAGGATGCCGGAGCACCCGGAGAGAACCCACGCGGACATGGGGAGAACATGCTAACTCTGCACGGCAACTGGGGTTTGAACCCACGACCTTCTTACTGTGAATCATGTCGTAATGACATTCATGCGGTGCGCAGCATAGTTTGTTTGGAAAACGTGTTTATTTTAGTATGTTTCTTATAATATAATGTACATTTAAAAATAATGGTTGTTGGTAAATGAATTACTGACCTCCACAGATGCATGATTTTACTGCTTCAATAAGAGCTCAGACTCTCCTTATGGACCGTAACTAGAACCCTGCTGGACTATCAAACTATACAATCTGTAAAAATTAATGCACATGCAATACAACATATCTGCATCGATAATTTTGTAAATATCCACTTTTTAAAAATGAATGGAGACAATAGCCTATTGTAATAATACTTTTACTTTATTCACTGTACACACACAGATTACACAGTTGGAAAAGGAGCTGGCAGCAGAGGCTGATTTGCATTATCCAAAACATAAACAAAAAGTCTGAATGCATGGTTCTTTGCATGTTCCATCAAAATATCTACCACTATCAATATTTGTACATCTAAATCACGCAAATTAGGATATGCCAACAGTGGCTGTGGTGAGGAGGAGTATCTTTATGTGGATAACTGTTTAAATAGCCCTGTATGTTAAACATCTCACTGCTCCAAAACAGCTGATTCAAACTATCAACTCATTATGAATCCTGAAGCTGCTTCAATCAGCTGTGTTGAAGCAGCGGTACGTTAGTTATAGACGGCGAACATATACCAAGAGCAATGCATTCAGACTTTACTCAATGTTTTGGATAATGCTAATCAGTCACCTACCGCTGTCGCAATGTGTAGAGTAGCGAAACAACCAAGAATGCATCACGTTATTTCTGTGGGGACGTAAAAAACTGACCAGTGTTGTGCCGCATTATGCCTGCCTACCGAGAACTGCATGCACCTCGCGGGTGATAACGGTCATTTACGCTGAGAAAAGAAGTGGATGCAAATCTCGGCAGGTAGCCTACAAAATTTGATCTGCCGAATTATGCATCCACCTCTTTACGTCCTTTTCAGACACTTTGCTGTGCTCATTGATCAAACGGCGTTATCACCACATATATTTACTAAATGTCAAGGAATGGTACTTCTACTAAGTGTATTTAACACTATTGATGGACCCCACATAGAATATTATAGCGTTTAAAAGCAGTATTTGGAGGTGCATGCAATTCTCGGCAGGCAGGCAAAACTCGGCATGATGGTGGCCTGATGGTGGACCCCTCTCTGGTTAGATTTGTTTAGGTGACGCTTTTATTCTGAAGAGCTCGGCCCGGAAGTTCCGTTGTTTTCTGGAGACGAGGATAAAATGCAGCGAAACGCGACCCGGACTGTTTAAAGCTGCGGAGGCATCTTACAGGTACGCACAACAACAACAACAACATCGTCATCATCATTATCATGATGGAGTCTGTTTAATGAAGCTCGGCTGCTGCTCGAAACGTTTGGCTTCCCCAGGGTCAGTGTCGCCGTTGAAACGCGTTACTATGGATCCGCAAACTCCATTTTCCCATTTCCTTGTTGAGTTTAGGTTGTGGACTGGTTTACTAAATGCGACCCAGCTGTTGTTATGGTCTTAAACAGAGAGGAAGGTGAATGTTAATGTTAGCTGGTGAAACAAAGGTGGCCTGCTTTATAGACTAACGTTACACTGCGGTATTAACAGTAAGCCAAATGGCGAGTGTTATAAAGAATGAAGCTGGCCTCGCCTTCACCTCACACATCATGTTCATGTAGACAAACATAAACATTATATTTGGCTAACAGTGATGTTTAAAACCCAAAGATATTTAAACTTAAGTTGAGGCTTCCGGTTAAAGGGCAGAAAGGCTGGAAACCACCGGATATGAAATACTGCAAGTCAGGGTTACCTTTCAAAATAAAATGATTATAGTCAGGGATCATGATCCACTTCTAAGTGCAGTTTCCACCTCAATTGAAAGTTACACGTAGGAACACCTTACAAAAACTCAAACTCTTTGGTTCTCAACATACCAAGGAGGTGCAGTGTCCTGCTGACTGACTGGAATATCAGCTGACATTTTACAAAACCAAAATTTCAAAGCACAAAATAATGAAACAGTATGGCTAACCACAACCCTAGCTCTGTTTTGTTATATATCAATTAGTAATCAATTACAAAGCCGAAAATGGTCCATCACAACTTTACATAATGAGAATCTTCACATCTTTCATTTTGTCTAAAATATTGGGGAGAATTCAGTTCATGTGAAAATTGTGTGTAAATTTGATAAATTAAACTTATCTGTTATTAAAACTATCATCTGAACTTGTACAGTAGTAGTAGTAGTATAGTAGTCCATAAAAATTATGTCGGGACATCAGTTAAAAGCTGGGAGGAAATAATGGGAAGTAGTTATTTGGCTCATTTGTTTGTAAAAGTACCTGTGATATGGTGCTTTAATAATAAACTCTGTATGTGTACACAGGGAAAAACACAGCATGGACGTCCTTGACAGACTAGAGATCTACATTCCAGAGGAGGCTGAGGTGAAAAGCATCCCTCTGTGGAGCTTAACAAACTCAGTGCTGAGGCGAATGGGCCTCCCTCTGTGCAACTCTGACGGCTCCAGGAAGCTCGCAGACTCTCCAGAAGGCATATGGATCTGTCCAGCAGTCGTACGGGCGAAAGGCCAGAAATCGGCCTCAAAAACGGGAAACGGCGTGACGGAAAACATGTCGTCGCTGCTGGGCAGGGAGATTCGGGCTGCGTCCGGTCCCTTCCGAATGTCCTTTGTGTCCTCAAATCGCACAGCTTACAAGGTGTTGAAGGAAACTATGCCTGGTCAAAAGGTGTCCATGCCGGGGCAAAAGGGCTCTGCACACACATCTCGCACTTCCATGTTACCTCAGGGCATGGCGCCGCAAACATACAAAGGTGCTGTTGTCATCTACCACGGACGCATTTACCTGTCCATCAAGAAGCCCGGTCGAAACCACAGTCAGCAAGAGACACGTGAACCACAGATGGCTTCCCAGTCGTCCATTCCTTCAACATCAGACCTGTCATCTAAAAGCCAGAGGAAGGTAACATAAAGATCCCCTCCACTCAGAAAAATGTCGAACTTTCACTTGTACCTGTGCAAAGTTTGTCACAAGAGAGGTGTTTTCACATTCCTCTTCTGAAGGGAGAGATGTCTGTACACTTCCACAGTGAAAGTAGAAAAATGTGGAGTGCAGTTTGTGGATGTAAACCGGTACCTGGAGCTTCCTTCCTCTGTCTACTACATCTGTGCCGCTTGTATACAGGAAACATCACCATCTATAGCATCTATAAGCATATTCCTGCTCCTCAAAGGATGAACCCTGTTTATTTCATTGACACCATGACATTTCTATACACTGATATTCATTTATTGTCATTGCAGGGTGCACACAATGAAATTCAGGTGCACTGCCTGAAACTGTGCTCAAAAATATATTTTATAAAAACCTAACATTCACACACATACAGCTCACACAAACACAAATAGTCCTCTAGCGGGACAAACTTGACATTTTCAGCTCCAGTACTTTTAATAATAGCTGAACAATAATGGTGCTGGCTGGTCTGCGCTACGCTTTCACTTGTGGTGCAGTTACAGTTTCAACCTCAGGGGGATGCTGCCTGACTTTTACCTTGCTTTCTGAAAATGGAAACCACAATTATGACTGTAAAATTTAAGCAGATGTTGGAATGATTCACAAAGATTTTGTTGCAGTAACGTTTATCTGTGGCTCGTCTGTCCTCCTGCAGCGCCAGCCCCCCCCGGCTTCTCTTGAACCTGAGGACAAAGAACCACAGAGGAAGAGCTTTCGTATCACTTTGCCCCAAATCATGCCAAAACAGCCAAAAGGTCTTCTCACAAAAACAGATAATCACTCCACCACAGATCAGGTGAGTGTTATAATTTATGTTTTTTCCTAAAGAGGTGGTAGTATGCTCATTTTCAGGTTCAAAATCCTATTTAGGGGTTGAGGGTGGACAGAGAAGGGGCGGGTCAGCGAGATGCCGGTAAACAGCTTCGATTCACAGGGTATCCGCGGGGTCTTAAAAGTATTAAAAAAGTCTTAAATTTCAGATTCCAAAAATAAGGCCTTAAAAGTCTTAAATTTCATTACGAAAGTATTAAATTTCGTATACCAAGGTCTTAAATTTTTTCTTGTCCTTTCGTAGGATTTAATTAATGCCGCAACGTCATAAATGAAAACTTTGTGTGTGAGAGACTTAATAATTTACTCCGTTTGGTATGACTCTGATGGTATACGGCAGTACAGGTAACGTTACTGTTTATGTCAGTGTTTAGCTTTGCCTGCCTGCCGAGAATTCCATCCGCCTCCAAATAATGCTTTTAAACGCTATAATATTCTTTGTGGGCTTCATCAATGGTGATAAATGATTCGAAGTATATATTTTATGAACGTTTAGAGTCTTTAATATTTTAATACACTTAGAAGTACCATTCCTTGACATTCACTAAATATATGTGGTGATAACGCTGTTTGATCAATGAGCACAGCAAAGTGTCTGACAAGGACCTAAAGAGGTGGATACATAATTCGGCAGATCAAATTTTGTAGGCTACCTGCCGAGATTTGCATCCACCTCTTTTCTCAGCATAAATTACCGTTAGCACCCGCGAGGTGCATGCAATTCTCAGCAGGCAGGCAGAATTCGGCACAACACCTGTCACACTGTGGCGAGGGCTAATGGAACAGCGGAGCTGGAAGACCCGCTGGAGGTTACAGGTCAGTTAATGTTACAACAGCAACGGAGAGACAGGTGTGTATGAGACGAGGACGCATGTAGCTTTCATCCCTGTGATGTCACAGGGATCAAAGGGAAACGGCTGGACTACAAACGAGCTGTTTTCAAGCAGTTCAGAGCAGAGTTTTCTGTGGCAGATGGGAACTCCCTTTGGGCTGGACTTTGGGCTTTTTCACTTTGCAAACCTATTACATGCACAAAAAAGGAATATAACTCAATAAAGGAGAGGGGGAAAAAAACTAAAATCCTAATACCACCTCTTTAATATAGTTACAGGATGCTTTAACAAAGAACACGAGACACAAAGAGAAGTGAAGCAAAGAAACTGAGAAAAATGTCAATAAGAATAACGTGGGTTAGCATGCCGTGCTGTGAGGAGATAAAAGGACGTGTACTAGATTAGAATCACTGACCTTCCTTTAATGCCTTATAAGTGAATAATAGAAGCTTATTTTGAAAATATAAAGGAATGAATAACTCCAGGTCAGTGCCAGGCAGTAATGGTTTGATTTTAGCGATGCAAGACAGAAAAAGTTGGTTATTGAGGTTAAACACTACACAGAGGTTACGGGCTGAGGGCTCATGATTGGTCAGCCTCCTCCTTTCACATGTTCCGACTCAAAAGCCAACCAGGAAGCAGATAGATTACACCATCTCAGCTGCTGGACGGCATTTAACATGAAACATGGTGCATTAAATGTTTATTGACATAACTTAAAGAATAACATACATGTACAGTCACTTTATTATGCTAGCAATTTATCCAAGAATCTGTCTATAAGACCTACTAATAATGTGACCAAAGAGAACCGTGTACAAATGGAAAAGAAAGGGGCCCTAAATCGAGCCCTGGGGTACACCAAACTCAAGTTTTGTTGTGGGTAGTAGTTAGGGCTGTGAAAATCTCATATGCCAATAACGCTACATATCCCATTGTAGAAAATCTTTTTTGTAAAATTAATGAAATATCATGAGTGCTGTCCGGAGTAAACTTTACTCTTCTCCACGACACCAGCAAGTGTGGAAGGACGTACCGTGGAGAATTCAAGTTGGATATTTGACAGACAAATATCTAACTAACTTCACCGCGTGAAAATATTACTGTAAAGTGCGTAATACATCATCATAATGGATTAGTTAAGTCTACATACTATGAATCCTAACAAATGAACTTGAGCCTCATGTGATGCTGCTGTGTTTGTCCTTTAGGAGCTCCTAAATGACAACAGGCCCAAGAAGAAACCCGCTACATGCAGAACAATACACAGTGACAACACGAAGGATCTTACTCACAAGGGAAGGAATGGATCCTCGTCCAAGACTGCATGCTCTGTCCCTCAGTCCACTGACAGCGTGCACAAAGTGGACAGCCGCTGTCATAAGGATGCTGCAGGAGAGCGGGCTGCAGAGGAACCACCAGGCCCGGAGACATCCTGGTTCCGTCCTCAGGGGGAGCATGAGGATGTGGCCAATGACAGCAAGGTGCAGGACCTGGGAGGCGGAGAGAGCCCCAGTCAAAGCAATGACATGGACAGTAGTAAAGCTGACAGGGGAGTTGATGTTGTAGAGCAAAGTGGCAACCAGAGCTGGACCAGGAGAGAGTCTCAGGGTGCAGCTTCCAGCTCCACATCACTACAGGTGGACTTCAATGAGCTGGCACAAGAGGAGAAGATCGCTCGGATGATGGCCAAGCTCAGACAGAACGAGGCGGCTCTCAGCAACCTGTCCTCCTAATGAGGAACGCCCAGTCAGAACACTTTACTTCCCCCAAAATGAAATCCTTGTTTAGTTTGTTAGAATGCTTTTAAACTTGGATTCACGTCCTTAAACTACCAGACGGACACAAACAGAAACCTGGAGATGGTTAGTGTGCTGCAAACTTTGAGCTTGTTGATCAGACTTCACAGCTCCCTCTGCTGCGCTGCTTTGGCGAAGCGTTGAGCTCATTGGTGTTCACCATACTAACTTGTGTTAGTATAGTTAGACTAAGTGTTCCTTAGTCACGTTTGCTCTGTTTGGTTGTGGGACACTGACCTTCTATCCTCTCCTGCTCCCCTCGCTGATGTCCAACCTGTGGAGCTTCTTAAAGTTAGCTCATGTTTGCTTATGTGTTTAACAAAGAAAGTGTTTATTCCTGATTTCTTCAAATGACCTTGGAAAGGAAATATTTCTGTTGCTGCAAATATCTAATTGCAATAAAGAAATGAGTGTGGATGGGACTTTGTTCATAAACAGAAATATAGAAAAAGTAAGGAGATCAAAAATGTGCCAGTTTACAAAATAATACAAAAAATGAACAAAAATAAATAAAATTCAGGATATTTAATAAGGAATGTACAAAAACACTTACCAGTAGCCAGTAGCTTCCTCATTAGCGAACATTGTGAAAAGAAGCAATCTACAACAGAGGCTTACGGCGGCCCCCCGTAGTTTACCTGGTTAGTTTTGCTCAAGTCCTGGATGCCTAATAGATCATGATCATGTTATTTGATCACACACTCAACATTTATAAATAACCTAATACTGCTGTTTGACAGAAAGTCAGACTGCACCAAATACATAAAGAGCTCTGTCCTCAGGATTTAGTGTTTCTGACTCTGGGAAAGGCAGTAAAATTCCCTCAAACTACTGTAACTCTGAACTCTTTTTAACCAGCTCACATATTTAGGCTGCTCTCTGTGACGACCTTTTGAAAATTTTGTAGTAGTTTTCACTGAGCCTCTTCTGGAACAGTTTTTGCCTGTCCCGTCTGATTCCATTTGTTCCCTGCGTCACCTCGTCGCCTTCTTTTCTTGTGGTATGTCTTACTCTAACTGTTTAATATTTTTGAGTCACTTGACAATAAATGGTTGGACGCATCCCCTGCTGTCCCAAACACATGGAGCATCTAGGGAAGATGTTTCCAGGGGACAAAAAAGTGACGACCAAACCTGGTTTGTGGCTCTAACTGATGATGATATTATGTTCATTGATAGTAATCACAGTGTCATTATAACTAAACACAGTTCAACAGCAGCACAAACTACATTCTCAAAATGATCTACAGCTGAATCACCTCTCAAACAGTTCAATAACTTCCGAGCATGAGAGCTTGATAAACAGAGGATTTATTAACTGGATCAGTTCCAGCCAGGGGGAGCCTTATAGTCTGGTGAATGCAAGTTGATTCCAGCCTTCAGAAGTGGATATCATGTCTGTGATAATGATGGATATCTGGTTACAAACACAGCAGAACATGTTCATCCCCAGTGACAGCATGCTGAAGCGTCTGATATCAGGTCTGGATGAGATGTGTGAGGCGACTGGGAGGAAACTTCGGCGCTGTGGTCCTCCTCCCCTCCTGCTGCCTGGTTATAAGACTGCAGGTCTGCTGAAGTCAGTGCTCACAGACAGGATGCACTCCTCATGCTGCCCCACAGCCAAACCACAGACACTGAAGGTAAGATTCTGTCTCCACAAATTTATGCAGGGAACAACTTTAAAGAGTTTCTGCTCTGCATCCTCTGGTACTCTGACAGTTTCCTAAAAAACAGCCGATGTGTAACTGTGAGTTCAGAGGATGGGTCTTGGTTGTCATTTGATTGTGATAGAAGGGAACGTGGAGAAATATTTGTACTGGGAGACTACAAATAAACATAATGAATGAATGTTTACTTTGATTTAAATGGAGCAGAAGTGGATTATGACCTAAACATATTCTGCTTTCCAGGAAACTTTGAATGGTTAAGAAATGATGGTAATATCCAGCTTCGTCTCTCTGTAAACGCAGCTGTTTAAAACAAGCACCTGGATTCAGCTTTGGGAACTGCTGATCAATCAGTAACCAGAATGAACCAGTCAGTCCCAGAGTCAGCTGATTAATATAACACATGTTCTGTTAATAGCTGATATATTTATAATACAAGGTGGATTCAGGCAGCTACTTTCACATTTATGTGCACAAATATACAATCTCAAGGTATTTCCAGAGCTTTCACCTCTGTCTACTGTGCTGCATATATACTGTATGTATACTGTACTGTAAATCTACTATACTGTACTATATATAAACTATGCTGTATTTATACTGTACTGTTGAAATTCTATACTGTACTGTACATCTACTGTACTGTATGTAAACTGTACTGTACTTTTTTTATAACCTTTATTGATCTACGAAGACATATTGAGATTAAAACCTCTTTTACAAGTGAGACCTAGTCAAGACAGGGTCAGATGCCAGGATCTAACAAATAAGACAACAATAATACAAAACAAAATGTTACATTGTACAGTTCAAAGACAAGACAACAATATTAGATCATATATTTATTTTGCAAAACAGCTGCAGCTACTGTACTGTACTGTACATATTCCGTGTACCATACTGCATATATATTGTATTGTATATAACTGTACTGTACATGTACTCTGACACAGCAGCATTAAATAAGAATAGTGCAGCTGTTTCTTCAGTTACCACAACACTGCTGTCTGAATCTGAAACATACCAGTGATCATCATTATTAATGATCTGTTAAAACGAGCGGGGCCACAGCCAGGACTCTACAGATACAGAAACATTAGTTTTAATTTAAATTCATTCAATTATCTTATTAGTATGACGGAATAGTGTGTCTTACATTGTGGATTATAAAAACTCCCTGAAACATTACTCAGTGTGTGAGCTGTGTGTCCTCAGTGGTTCATGACTGAGACACCTTTAGAAAAGCGTTGACCAGCATACAGGAAGTTGACATTAATAATAGTAGTGACTTGGACAGAAGAAACGTCATCCTTCGTGCTGAAGTTGTACATTGAGAGTTTTTGTTCTGGTCATCAGGTGCTGTGTGTTCGGGTGTGTATGTTCTACTGCACCATGTCTCTGGCAGGCTGGCCGCTCTCCTCAGAGGCAGCCAGACTCCGCTGTGGTACTGACCTCCTCAGCGACCTCATATTTGTGTGTGGGGACCGTGGAATCTACGTAGGTAGGTCTGTCTTCATGTTATGAGGCTGCTGATGAGACTGTGACTTTTCTTGTATAGAAGTGGAAACTAAGGCCTCATTGTGGCAGTAACGAGCAGGTCAGGAGCTCAATAACATCATTAGGATCCATCCTCTGGAACCTGGAAAGCAAGCGTACACAAATACATTCTTCAGATATAAATAGATACAAGCTCATTAACCAGAATCGAAGCTGGTGCACAGCGATGAGCTGAAGTTAGGGAGCGTCTCAAAAGTACATGCAAAATGACAAGGAAAGCTTCTCTGATATCTGTCAATAGATGCATTTTATCTGGGCCTCCTCCCGCTGCATGTACAGCTTCCATTTTATTTTTATATTATGTAACATGGGCAATAAAACCTACTTAGTGATTATAACATGTTCTTTAAACAAAGTGTTTTGCAGATATCACATCAATTGGTAGATTCTATCTTGTTATGACAGACATGCAGATTGATTCTGTTTCTTCTATTGTAGATTTTAATAATCATACAAAAGGCTGATAGGACCAAATGCTATCAAGGTTATCCTACCCTGAGTGCTAACACTTAACACTAGCAGAGGTGTATAACGCAGATATAGTCATGGTCATCCTGTCAACATGAAAACACTGCAGCAACTGAGCAAGTTATCAGCTCCACAACAACAAAACGCATCCTGAAGAGTAGCCACAACACAATGTCAGTCTCAGCAGCAAGAAGGCAAACTGTAATGAAATATAAGATCAGGTTCCACAGCTTTATACAACAGTGAAGTGTAGAAGTGTATTGCTTCTTCGTTACAATATAATCTCTGCAGCTGCTCACTGAGAGTTACTTTCAGGCCCTTTCACTTGATTACCTTTCCCCTATTCCGACCAAGGCCACCTTCTCCATCTGCTATCAGAGCGGTGGCAGTCCAAAATGGCAGCGAAGTCACCAGGACACTGTGCCTCAGTGCGTGATAGCTTTATTGTTAAAACACTGTTATCTGAGAGCAGCACAGCTTTCACACTAACAACACACAGAAAGCTGCATGAAGGGGGGAACAGCACTTCGAAGCAAAACACACACTTCACACTTATTAACAATGAACATTTCATGTCTGGTAGTTTAGTGCTTTGAGCTGAATGCTAACATGCGCACGTTAATATTAGCTCATGCTAATATTAGCAGATACAATGTTTACTACCTTCTCAGTGTTGTGTGTAAGCATGCAAACAAGATAATGAGGCTTTAAAGAAAAGATTGTGATGTTGGATGTTGTTATCTCTCTGCAGGTAAAGGTACGTGGTCCGGTTATGGGGCCCGGCCCAGAGGGAAAGGGATAGTGGACCAGTGCTGCCGGCCGTCTGGCTGTGAGCTTCAGCATCTGGAGATGTACTGTGCTAAACCAAAGAGCCAACAGCACACCACAGCGCAGCCAGCCACAACCACAGCGCCTCATACCACGACACAGTTGGACACACAGTTGGTATGACCTAACCCGCTTAAAGTTCACTCTTCATGCTGTTAATGCATATCACAACCTCAGCAGTGGCTGGGGACGGCTCAGCATAGATCTTTGATCACATGACTACAGGTGTTGTATGTGATGAATAGTAAATGCTCCGTATTTGTATAGCGCCTTTCTAGTCTTTTCGACCACTCAAAGCGCTTTTACACTACATCTGCATTCACCATTCATACACATTCATACACTGAGCCTAAGTGCTCAAACGGAAACTAACATTCACACTCACTCATACACTGGCGGAACAGCCGCCAGGGGCAATTCGGGGTTCAGTATCTTGCCCAAGGACACTTCGACACGCAACCAGGGGGAGCCAGAGATTGAACCGCCGACCTTCCGATTAACGGCCAACCCGCTCTACCTCTTGAGCCACAGCCGCCCCTAGTAGTACCCATAGTCTCTGGTCAAGGAGGGTGTTTGATGTCTGGGATTCTGACTGACCAAATCTGAAAGGGGACATTCAGACCTGGTCCAATTAGACCTGATCCAAGACAGATCCACGGCAATTTGGATGTCTCATAGTTGCGTCTCAGGTGGACCCACATGGACCAGACCTCTACAAGGAGGCCATTCACATCCACTGCCAAAGACCATCCTTGAAGGTCCAGGGTTACAGTATCACAAACACCTGTTATCATGTGACTGGATCTCCAAAGCAAACTCGAGTTATGAATATTCTGTCTGCCTGAAGTTAACTTTGTCCTCCACTTAGCATCAGACAACAACCACAACAACAAAATAAACTAATACGCTTGTGTTAGGATGGCCTTCCACTCAGATCTGAATCCACTGGAACATAATATAACAGACAAATAAAAGGTGGAAACTATCCAAAAGTGAGAGTAGTGACTAACACCTGAAACAAATACCATTATAAAGTTGATGTCTGTGATAAAGCCTTGCTGCAGGTCCCACACAGGGCCAAGGTTACCTGCTACCACCAAACTCCACGTCCTTGAATCTGCTCCTTATTCTTATCTTTGTTTTGCAGGCACAGCAATTCAAGGCGGTATTTCAGAAGAGACTTTTAGAGCACCTGGGAGCCCCCGACAGCCCGAAGAGGGAAGCTTACAGAAGGAAAACACAGCCTTCTCCTCGACGGAAAAGCAAAGCTCCATCATCGCGAAGGAGAATTACCACCACCAGCAGACCTCCTTCTTCCTCCCTTCAAAGAACGAGCTCTGAATCGTGACCTCTGATCTAATGAAACACTGAATATTTACTGGACTGTATCCAGCAAGTTTGAAGGGCTGATGCTGGCTGCTGTAATATGAACTTAAAGACGTTCTCGGCTACACAGATATCAAACTGGTCAGAAATCACAAGCCGGAATTGGAGATAACTAACCCACTGGCAGCCATGTTGGGGCTCCAGGAGACAGCTGACGTCCTGACACTGTCTCGGGGATAGCTGCTGCTACACTAACCTTTGGCCCTCTCTTTCTTCTGGAACAAAGTGTAACTGTGTAACTCCCTTGAGATCCACTCACACTCAGCTCTAATGTCACCTTTCCACTACTCTGGACACACGACTGTAACTATGGTGAGCCGTTTTACATTTATTCCCTAAGACTTACTAGTTGCTTTTTAAAAGCTATTTGTACTTATTACTAAAAATTAAGTACTAGTATCTAATCAATTGATACTAGTAAAACAGGAATAGTTACTAGTAACTAATAAATAAGTACAAGTAGCTTTTAAATTGCGACCAGTAAGTTTTAAGGAATAAATGTTAAAACTGCTTACTATACTGTAACCACCATATCTGGACCAGAAAGCTTGGCAAGTATGTCCTGATAGCTCACTAAGTCTTGGCCTTAATGTTTAACTGATGATGGACTTTGGCTTTTGGGAAATGGTGTTCGTTAAAGGCCGCTAAATGTTAAACACACAGCAATATAACATTGTTAACCATCCCTGTCTGGACAAATGGAGTGTACCAAATTACTTTCATTTGCCTTATTTTAAATGCCAAATCTTATATCTGGAACAGAACCTGGTTTCAGTGCAGCTCCTTTAGTCCTTTTCCACTGCAGCGACTTAGTGAGGCTTTTAAGACTCTATAGTTTGTTTACATTTTATTTAAAGCAGTAATACATTTTTTGTTGTAGTTATTTAATTATGTTTTACCTTACAAGGTTGCTGTGATGAACGTGATAGCAAAAATTGAGTTTATATATATACCTATTTGGTAGTTATGTAGCAACATTAGTATTACTTTAGAGTGTGTTCACTGTCCTTTTAGCTCTGTCTCCACCACCTCCTGAGATAAATATCTGTGTCTTTAGCTGCTAAATGCTCCACTGTGTGTACCTGTTAGCCGCCAACGTTATCTGTCTGCTGTTTGTGAGGTTATGTTACCTTCCTGCAGTGGAAAAGAGCAATAGGAGTCACACCAGTTGATGCCTAATGTCTGTGCCATCAAGAGCTAATCAAGATGTCACTGAGATGTTAGCTTCTTAGCCACTGTAGCTGATTGATCTTGTTTAACACACTCATTATTATGTATTTATTATTTACGTATATGTGAGCGACCTGCTGTGTGTGTGTGTATGTGTGTGTGTGTGTGTGTAATATCTGTTCACATGCAATTTTATTGCACTTTCAATTACAGTTTGTAGCTTTACCGTGTGTTTTGGGCACAAACGTTAGCAAAAGGGTTTGAGAGAACTTGTAGTTACATCTACTCCAGTTGTACTAATTTTTATTTTTCCTCTGTCTGAGATTATCAGTCACAGTGTGTTTATTATTTCAAATGTTGTGTTTAGCATGCTTTGTGTAAAAAACTTTGAATGCATTTATTATTTATTTCACTCTGACTATAATAAATATTAAATCGTCATAATTCTTTGTGGTGTTTGATTCGCCTCCTCTGGTGATTTTCACACATTGCTCACAGAGTTTGTTTTGAATTTAACATTGAACAACATAATATTGTTCACAACTTGATCTTTTGTTTTGACGTTCAGCTTCAGCGTGATCACAAATAGCTGACTTGTTTTACTTTGACATGACTGAAGTAATACGAGACCTGTCTATGAGTTGTCAAGGCCAACCCCGAGAGAGCAGGCTGATAAAGTAAATGGCTCCTCTGTGCTTATGAAGTATTATTCGGTGGTTAGTGAGTCGATTCAAACAGTCTTTTCAATGAGGGGAAAAGAGCACTGAGCATGTGCCATACATAAGCCTCATATTACATACAAAGGTAATTCAACGTGAGTTTACGAGCTGTTTCTGGAGATTTCACAACTTTGTCATCACATGACCAAAGTATGGTGGTTGTTTATGGGGGAAGATGGTAATGTTTGTCTCTGTTCAAAGATGGTGTCTAGTGTCCTCTGACACCAAATTCATTAAAAAAAACAACAGCCTTTTTCCATCTGAAGATTTTCTTCTTCCAGATTCAACCTCACAGATCCTGAACCATTGTTGCTGTCTATAAAAGGTTAAACTAAATGACAAACAGTCCTTCAGCGGTCTAATGAGGAAAGCTCTGTGGGATTGAGTTGCGCAAGACAACTATAAATGTGTTTGGAGGAAGTAGTCCAGAAACAACAACTCACTGCGTCGTCGTAGAGGCTCCGTACAGAGAGCGCTTGTATCAAAATTGAACTGATTTTTCATCTCATCCTGTACTGGACGTTTTGAGAGACTACCTGAGTTCAGAGGTAGGCTACTTTGGTGTTGTGTGATTTGAGCGGCTAACTCCTATTCTCAGATGGAATGTAACAGCAGAGCCAAACAGCTGGCTAAAGCCGGCCCGGAGCGGTGCTGGTGCAGATTTAGGACAGGATATTGGTTGGATTTTATGAGACACAGCTTAGACTGCAGGGCGGTGGTGGCACTGTTGATTCTTCAAGCTGCACCATAAAAGGCCTCAAATGAGCAGCAGTGGACAAAGTATTTAGATCAGAAAGTAAAATGTTACCGCAGTAAAAGTATGTGAATATAATCAGGCCTTGCAGTAAAATGTTCCTGTTTAGTATCGGACTACAGCTAATGACTACTTTAATTCTGGATCAATCTGTTGATTATTTTATCCATGAATGGATTGATTGTTTGGTTTGTAAAGAGCCGTCACAGTTAGTCCATAGTGACATCTTCACAACCAACAGTCCAAAGCTCAACGTTATCACAATTATTATTACAGAGGAAAACCAGCAGATCTCCATGAGAGAAGCTGAAAAATAGCAAAAATAGCTTTACTCTTCTGTCAGTCTACTGATTGATTATGCGACTATCATTCAGCTATACTTGTATAAACTGTTGGAAGTTTAATTTCTAACAAAACATCAGATATTTTTCATGTTTTGTGTGTAAAAATCTTAATTTGTAAAATATCTGAATCTGTCAGATAAATGAAGTAAAATGTGTCACCTCTGATTTAGTGTTGTTAAACATTGAATGGTTTTGTCTCCGTTTTATATTGGTCTCACTTTCTTAGGCCTGCATGTTTTATGTCTCATGTATGGATGTATTTATTGTATGTATTTTAATGGTTATGACATTTTAAACTCAACACTCTGTAATTTCTGCTTTAACTTTAAAAGCCTGACCAGGGACAGGGGTTGCAAGTTAGTCATGGCTAGAAAACCTGTTTGAATAGCATCTACTCTGTATATCTTATGAAGTCTGGAGTCAGGGTGTAGTTAGCCTAGCTTAGCATAAAGACTGTGAGCAGGGGGAAAGAGCTAGCCTGGCTCTGTTCAGAGGTCTAAAATACATCTAACCTACCAGCAGCTCTCAAATCTCTGATCTGGCCAAATGTCCAACTCGCGAAGGCTAGAAGATCTCAGTTTTCCTCACTTTCCTGTCAAACCTCGGCTTCAGCTGTTGGCTAGAGAAAAGGAAAGATGTGCCGCCACTTCCAAAAGACACGCTGGAAGTCTTTGGTTTGTCTAGAAACAGAACTTGAGTTGAAACACAGGAGCTGCCACACAGCAAATAGTGGAGTTCTGCTAGCAGTGACATGTTTTTATTTTGCACTTTTTAAGTCAATGTAAACATCTGTTTTCCTGCCAGTGAAGCCCCATTGAATAAGTTTGCTTATGGATAGTTGTTAGCTAATGTTAGCTAATCTGTTATTGTTGCAATTAAACTGCTCAATAATAAAGTTTCATTTTTATCGGTTACCAAACAGCTTCACGAGCATCTCCTTCTGGACTGGAGGAAGACCAACCCAGATTTACATGTAGCCCAAAAAATAAATACAGATTGTGATCAGATTTGTGATTGAGATGCACATATGTGGATTTTATCTGGATACGAGACATTCGGCTTAGACTGAGATTTACCCTGCGGTCACAGCAAAAAGTTTGAAGAGCAGGTGCAAGTGTTAGTTGCCTCGAGAGCTACATGCTGCTGTAACATTGACTGGTGACGCTCTACGGCCTGCGGAAGGGACTGCAGCACCTTTCAGCTCACCAGCTAGTTTCTATCAGAGCTGTTTCAGGCAGCTGAGAGCTCAGAGGCTGAAAGAGTCCTCCATGTTAATCACTAAGTGACACCTTTCACATTTGATCTGTTGTTAATATATAAATATTAATTAGTGTAGCTTGAAATAAAAGCCAAGTCAAACCACTGTGTTTTTTTATTGCAGATTAAACAACATTTCCTAGTTTCCCTTTGCAAACCTTGTAATTTAATTTTACATTACATTGTTGGGCTAGTTAAACTGATTACACTGACACTACTAATGTCTCAGCAGCAAAACAATAATCATTACCACACCTCTCATCTTTTGTATTTAACATGTATAGAAATACAAGACGGGACGTTGTGCTTTAACATGCAGCAAGCAAACAATTTGGAGGGACTTGCTGACCATTAACAGCTAACATTAGCTTAGCATCAGTGACTCCACCCAGCTCTGCAGACTGACCCCCAAATGCCAAAGTACTGGGATTAGTAAATGTACTGTGAATACTGAATTTCAAACTGTATTCTGTTTCCCTTACTCTGTTTATTACTGAAACTATTTATGTTCATACGTAACCAGCACTGATTACAACAACTTAATAATTCAGAAAATAAAGAAGCATTTTGAACACTTCTGATTCTGTATTGATAATATCAGAGGACTCCACCACATAGTAACAGCTGTTCTCAGTTGGCGTGATAAGGCTGGAGAGGAAAGCTTTCTCCTTGTGGCTGCTTGCGTCACAGCCAGATAGTGATATTCACTCCCATCTCTTCCCATGCAGAGCAATTCTCATAAAGCCCAGACTCACTTAGATTCTCATGGCCACGGTGGTAACATTTTGCAAACATTATATTTTGGACAAGGTTTACAAACCGCGATGAAGGAATACTGTAACTTTGTCCTGTAGCATCCTCGGTCAGAAACTATTGATTTACATTTTGTGCAGCAACATTTCCTTCTTCTGCCATCAGCAGCTGCAGCCCTCTCTGGCTTTCTGTTCCTGTTTGTTTCCAGCAAGTCTAAAAATGTACAAATCCTTTCATGCAGACTTCAAGGTTTGAAGCGAATCTGGTATTCGGGGTCTTAAAAATCTCACCACATGCAAAATGGGTAAGGACAGTGAATATTAATGAACATATTTGCTTTTCAGCCCAAAGGCTATTTTCAATCTGTAGTCCCTGGCAGGTCGTCACAAGGTACAAAAACAAAATTAAACAGTAAGTTAAATATACAATACACCACACTTCTCATTCATCCTTCAACAGAACGCTGACTCAGCTGATTAAGTGAACAATGTTTGAGAGCAGCAGGTGAAAAATCTGACAGGCAGTCGGTTAACAGACAGCACGAAGTTATATAGCCTTAATAAGGCACGTGTATGTTTAACAAGTAGCACGGTCTTGGATGAATTTTCTGTTCTGATTTCAACACGTCTGGGCAAATTAATGCGTAGGCACCAATCAGAGGCAGAATTTTTTGATGTCATCATGTAGACATCTTGCAAAGTATTTTTTTTACAACAAAATATAAAACACTGAAGTATTTTGAAACTAAATTTTCAAAATCCTACTTTGTATTTCAAATACGTATTTTAAGAAGGGGTAAACCGGGGCGAAAATAACACGGGACGAAAGTAACAAGGCGATTTTCTCAGAGCCCTGACTGCATTGCAGTCCAAGTTGTGACAGCACCTTCAGCACGCAACCCTTGATGGAGCAGCCAAATATCACATGATTTTGTTATTGTTTCCTCCGGTCGTCTTTGGAAAACTGTTTTCGAGTATTGCAAGTCAATTTCTGAAGCGCGACTGTTTTTCGAATTACAAGTTGTGTCTCTCGTTTCACGTGTCTTAATGTACAGGTTATTTAGTGCTTCAACACACCCTGAAGTTTGCCCTGTCAGAGTTTTTCAGTATAAAAATAAATCATGTTTATATGTCAGGAGTTCTTTTCGGGACAAAAGTAACAATGTGCTAATTATGTTTAAAGTAAAATTATACGGAAGTCGTTTTACATTTGTACAAAATACCACCTGATATAGACCAAACCTGTCTGAAACATTATCTTTTAAAATCATCTTTCACCCCCTACATGTATCATAAATACTGCCCGTCCCTGTCCACAGAAATCTGGGGTTGATTGCCAGTAGTGTTACAAACAACTGGTTGTGTTTATGGGTGGGAAGCCAGTGAGGGATCTCATTCTTGTGGCTGCACTCTGCATTACCAACCGGACCCAGAAGTCCCAGCTTCACTATGTGTCAATAGTTTTATGCCAGGCTATTTGCACCACTAAATGAATGATGGGAAGTTAAGCATTACTACCTAACCTTATGGCCTGGTTGAGGCCTAGTTTAAATGACACGATGACACAGAAGACCTGGGGTCAGGTGGTACATTCCAGCACAGGAATACTTGTTGG